CCCGGCCTGCGGGCGTCCGGCGGCTGCTGCCCGTTTCAGCCCGGCAGTGGGCATCTCCTTCCGTCTCACTCCATCCTGTTTACTGCACCTGTCCTCCATCCTGTTTACTGCACCTGTCCATCCCCTCCCCGTCCTTTCCTCAGGTTTCCACATTCAAAAGTCCCCGAGCGGGCAAGCCACGATGGTGAGCAGGGCAGACAAGACCGTTACCTGAGAGGCTCCTCGTCTAGGGGGTGACAGTCAGCGACGCTATGGTTAAGACGAGAGTGAGAGCTGATCTGAGTTGAGAGAAATCCTCCAGGAGGGGCACTGACAGTCCTGAGAGGTAAGATCCACAAAGAGTGGGGCCTAGGTGGGAGTGGTGGAGCTTGCCGGTAATCCCAGCTACTTCAAAGGCCGAGGCAAGAAGATCACCAATTCAAGGCCAGCCCGGGCAATTTAGGAGACCCTGGCTCAGAAATTTAAAAATAAAAAGGGCTGGGGGCGGGGATTTAGCACAGTGGTGCCGCCGCCTGCCTCACAAGCTCAAGATCCCCAGTTCCATCCCCAGTACCCCCCCAAATAAATAAATAAAAATAAAAAGGACTGAAGGTGTATGTAGCTCAGTGCTAAAGCATTTGCCAAACATTCGGAAGGTTATGGGTTCAATCCCCAGTACCTGAGGGAGGGTAACAGCCGAAAGAGCAGAGTGCAGCTAGGAGGGAGATGCAGAAGTTGGCAGATCGTCTGTGCGTGGCCTTGCATGTAGGCGTCTGCACGGTGAGGATGTGGGACTTCACGCCCACTCCTAGGTGAGGACTGTGATCATCAGCTCGTAATTTAGGATTGCTGTGTCCACCATGGAGACTTGCTTAGAGAGGAGGTAGTGGCAGGAGGTACAGGCTGCCCCCAAAAGCTCCCCTTGGCTTGCAGGCAGATGAGGCAAGTGACAGGCCTTGGCCAGATGCCCTGTGGGCAGCGGTGGGCCTGCCAGAAGAGGGTAGCAGATATTTTGAATTTGAGCCTGTGGCCTTCTGGCAATTTGGGGAGCTGGGACAGCAGGTGGGAAATAAAACCTGAGTGGACAAGGGAGGGCAGTAACAGGGAGCAGGGGCCTTAGGACAGCACCCTGCAGCTCCCAGCTCCTGGGAATAGTCCCTGGTAGGAGGAGCCTGCGTTTATAGGAATAGAAGGGCTCTAGAGAGGCTGAGGAAGGCCAGGAAATGTAGGCAAGACTTGTGAAAGTTGGCCTGTTGTGCATGGGCTTTCGGGAGAGGTGGATGGGATTGTAGCTTGCTTACACAGCAGTGATAGGACTATGGCAGGCTGGCTTGTCTGGCCAGCTCAGGATTTTTATTTTTCAGGTTTTTATTTTTTATAGTGTGTTTGGTACAGTACTTTGAACTTAGCTCCTCAGGCTGGCTTTGAAGTGCAATCCTACTTTAGTCTCACTAGTAGCTGGGCCTTGCGAAGTCATGTATAGTTAAAAAGTAAACAACCAGTAAGGGCTAATAAACCCACTAGCTCCTGTACCTCCAACTTTACCTCCTTCAAGAGGTAGATGTGAAAAAAAAAATAAAAAAAGAGGTAGATGTGGTGGCACACATCTGTAATCTCAGCACTTGGGAGGCTGAGGCAGGAAGTCAGTCTGGATTACATAGCAAGACTGTTATCAAAAAAAAAAAA